ACCATCGCAATTTGTATTTCCTTGGTGCCTGAATTAAAAGGAAAACACTATACATCATATGTCTGTTTTTTCCCATTTCTTTTAGGTGACAAACCAAGGTCACCGGATCGTCACCGTGCAGCTACTGAGTCATCTTCAACCTTGAGTCATCTCCTTCCAACATGCGAGGCTGCAACGCTGCCTAGCCAGGCAAGAATCTCATGTCATCATCCAAACAAGCCCTTGCAATCCGTTGAACCTCGAGCATCCGCCAAGCCCAACAGGACCCGAGCCAAGACCGAGAGCATTCATGACTCTCTAGGATTCTTCATTTTCATTTCCATTAATAGTAGCGTGCTCGTGCTAATGCTACCACAGCATTAGGGTGTGCAAATTGGAATCACAAAAAAATTCTAATGTTTTCCTTTCACTAGTACAATTGTGGGTTTTAAACCCGGTTGGGAACTGACTTTAGTCCCGGTTTTCCAACCGGGATTGCGGATCCGGGACTAAAGGCCGGGGCATTTAATCCCGGGTCACGCAACCGGGACTAAAGCCCATCCTCGGAACTAAAAAGACAGTTTATGTACTAGGAGACCTCTCTTGCGGTGCGTGAGATTCTAACCCAAGCTCCTTGCCTCGCACGTAGCTTCCTGACCAACTCAGCTGCACACCACATGTGACAAAGTTCTGGGTGCTCTCCTTTTAAATTCATCCGTGAGGCACCTTTAGTCTCGGATGGGAGACCTTTAGTCTGGTTGGTGACACCAACCGGGACTAAAAAGTGGCTTTTAGTCACATTTGGTATTACTAATCGGGATAAAAGGGCCTTTGGTGCCTGTAAAATTTAAATCGGGACTAATGCTCACATTAGCCTCGAACCCTAATACAACCGAGACTAAAGGTGCGAACCGAAAATCATTTCTCTACTAGTGTTTATGGATAATTATATTGCAACTCTACTAATTACCATACAACTACATGCATAATTGGAACTTGCCGCGAATCTTGGCCTGAGCCGTGGAAATAATCTCCACCGCATCACCATCAAATGTATCATTAGCACAAAAATTTCATCTCTTGGATGTGTTATGAATTTTTCGTTGAGGATGAACCTTGACCTGCACCTAACCTTTTGTGTGTCTTGTCTATTACCCAGACATGAAAAACTTGTCTTTAAGGTGGAACTTTAGCACTCTTGAATGATCTTGACTCTGGCATGGTCATTGATAGGTCCGAGGGAGGTCTCCAATCTCCATCTTAGTCTCTGGTGGGTGATCGAGTATCATGTTTGTTAGACCTGCCACACGACATGAAGTGCAACGCAAGGAACCCAACAGCCATTTGTGTTCGACCACAAAACATGAGTGACTAAATGAAAAAGAGAAAAAAAGAGATTTTGTTAGTTGCGTTTTCATCCAGAGTCCTTTGACTTAGAACCAAACAAAAAAAATAGTGACTCCTGGTGCCATGGCAGTACCATGGACTGCTCCTAATGCCCTGCTTGTTTCCTTGGCTATTGGTTAGCACCCTTTCTCTATTTACTACCCAAACAAAATAATAAGACCTTGCATAATAACAAAAATGGCTTCTGAGAACATAAGTCTAAGTTCTATAAAAGATAATTGGATCAAAACATGAGAAAAGTGCCACAGCAATACACCCGAATTTAGACATGTTGGATATATAAAAAAGGAAAAGTAGGGACACGTTGGATTATTAATTAAAATAGTAAAATGCAAACAAAAATGATTTTGTTTATAAAATCAATTTTTTCACTGATCTAACTTATTTGTTGCAAGGCATAAAAGCGAATTGCTTGACAGCCAATAAGTCTGATATAATAATTGCTACAATTCTAGTCATTAACCTTGCTTTGATAAGCTCTCAGCTTCCATGTTTCACATCACTACTTAGCATGGCCATCATGTTGAATTGTTGCGATGAATACAACAACTGATAGAAGATGTACTGAACAATAAAAGCATGTCAAGGCTAGTTATGAACCTATTGTCAAATTTCATCTAGAAAAATAAAGGGCATGAGCCAACTGTATTTACACTTGTGTGTTATTTTTGTCAAACAAGCAGTACGCGGGAATGGCATCAGTGCGACATACACTATGCAAGTTGAACTGAAGGAGAGAAACCTTGAAGCTGACCTATTCGATCGTGAGGCAAACCTCCTACAGAAAGCTCCTGCAACAAATTAAATAATAGATTTAGATATTATGTTGTTCTGTTTGCACCAGAACTATTCCTCATATTATGTTGCCACCTCCTTTTGCCCTTTTGCAGTTGCATGGTCGACCACTAACGTTCACCTTGTTTCTACCTTTAGTTGCAGAATAGCAATGGCTCTTTACTGAGCATATGGGCAGCAATGGGTGAGGTTCAGCACAAATCTTATGATACACATACAAGTACAAAGTACGGTTGATATTGATAAGGAGTTAAGGAGCTAACTGCTTTTCATCATATAGTAGAGGCAATAAGAATTTGCATTAGTATTCAATTCTAAAGAATCAACTGCAGGCAAGCAACTGACCCAATTTTAAATCACATACCTCCAAGATGTAGATAGGATTGGAACTCCTCTTCGCAGTGGAATACCACCGAATACCTACATTGCATCCAAAAGCAAAACTTGATTAATTTAAACATGACCGCCTGCAATTGCTACATCCAATGCAGATCAGAGAGGGAGGTAGAGATTTTTCCGCGTGATTTTTGTGACGGCAATTAGCTATGGGCGTGGGATTCGATCCTCGGTCGCAGAGGGCGTGCGGGAGGTGGAGCGGAAGGGCGGGTGTGCGTTGAAGCCTGGAGGTGGGGAGATCCAAATAACGTTGGCCATCGGATTGAGTTGAAGTCTGTGCTGGAGGATTAGCAGCCATAGATTTTAATGATGTTAAAATCTTAGGTGCAATTTCATTGGTGCACAATGGTTGGCTCCCTCAGCGGGAGACGTATTGTTTGGTGTACCTAAAATAGTTTGGATTGGTCTTTTATAGTAGAGATTTGACGAGTACTCTTTCTTCCTCTTCCAAAATATAAAAATACATAGACATACCTATGAGTGCATCGAACAATGCAAAAAATACTACTTGTTTTTCCACCCTTTGATTCTATCTTCTTCACACCACATGTCCGCTGGATGAATGGAGACACTAGTGCTTGGACGTCCTGTCCCAGGAGGCGTCTGGACGCAGCTCCCACACAGCCAGTAACATTACTAGTTCCATCCGTCCGATCAACCCTGCAACAGAGAGGACTGCCCGCGCCCGCGCCTGCTGCACACACAGGAGGGGACCGTCCGCGCCCCTACCGCCATCCCTCTCCGCTTCCCGCGCCCGTGGCCGCGTCGTGCTCCATCCCTCTGCTTCCCACACACATGCACAATGCCCCAACAACTCTGACAGGTGGGCCCCATTACAATATGTGCAACACCAGATCTACTTTTATAGTATCCAGATGAAACACTTGCAACGTACGTCCGAAAACAGTAGAAACACTTGGAACATACGTTTGACACACCAGAAAACCACGTGTGTAGCCATTGCAAAATATATGCAACATCCAGATAAAACACTTGAAACATACGTTTGAAGCAACTGAAAACACTTGAAAACATATGCTTGCAACATGCATGTATATGCAACATCTAGATCTACTTTTGCAACATTATGATAAAACACTTGCAACATACGCCTGAAACAGTTGGAACATACACTTGAAACATATGTGTATAGCTATTGCAACATGAGCAATATCTTGATCTATTTTTGCAACACCGATATAAAACACTTGCAACATACCTCTAAAAACTTGAAGCATACGTTTGCAACACGCACTTTCAGCGCAATATCTCCTTGATGTTTGGGAATTGAGGCTCGTCGGCGTGTGGAGTTCACTATGTAGAGCTCACTGGTGGCGTGGAGCTCGCTACTCCGGTGAAGAAGGGCATGACAGGTCCAGTGGAGAAAGTTGTGGCAGGTCCATGCGCTCTAGAAGGCCGCGGCGGGCGAGAGGCACGGTGGAGAGGGAGGAAGATGGGCTACCGCGCTCTGGCGCGGTGGAGATGTCGGCTAACGAAGCAGAGGCGCAGTGGAGAGTGCGGTCGTGGAGCGCTGTCACGGCGCTACGGTGAGGTGAGTTTTTTTAAGAACGATTAGGGACGAATGGATGAGTAGATAAGATAAGAGGAAGTCGTTGAGCTCTGGCTCGGGCGGCCCACCGTCGCGCCGGACGCCCTTTACCAAGAATTACCGATGGATGAATATTGAATTTTAAGTTGTGCCGTTGTGCGGTGTCTAGCCACTCCCTCTACTGATGATACACCGCCATCAAAATGCTATACGCGTCTCAGCTACACTACACACGGTAGTTTCTACCCGCCTTTAAAAACTCGCATACACCTAATATTCCGATGGACTCACCAGAGCCTTTACCCCAAAATCCCTCAAAAAAAAACCTTTACTAGCTCATCTTCCACTTTGACTTCACCGAGCGATCCATGTCATCATGGTGAAAAAAACACTGAGTTATCCTATATTCACTATAAATTTGACTCAAATCTAAATTTGAATGTTAATATTTGGATCTCTGTGTGTAAAACTGTAAACAGATTTTGTACCTCCATATATACATACAATACATACAAAAAACAAAATTATAAATGATCTCGCAGTGGAAGGAACTCCCCTACAATTTCCGGCCCATTTATTTCCTCATCTGAGGCCCATCTGAGAATTCTAAGGCCCATCCCGCCGGCTTTCAGCCTATGCAGGCCCTTAAATCTCAGCCGTTGGTTGGATCCGACGGCGAAGGCAAGCATCCCCCCGCCCGCCGCCATCGCCTCCAGCCTGCCGAGGGCGAAACAAAACCTCCTCCCCTCGCTCGCCGCCTCGCTCGCAGACGCGTCTAGCTAGGGTTTGGTCTCGCCGCCCCGCCGCGCACGCCTCCAGAAGCTTCTAGACGTTACGAGGAGGAGGAGGGGAGGCTCCCGCCGCCGTCGCAGCCATGGCGTCCACCAAGGTCCAGCGTATCATGACCCAGCCCATCGTAAGCTACCTCTCCGCCCCCCTTCCCCTCTGCGCTTGTTTGCTCTTCTGTTTTTCATTCATAATATCGTCGTGCTGTTCCTGATTGTCTCACCCTATGTTTGATGTTGTGGTTGGCGAATCCTTGGTGGGCGTGCGCGGCGGCAGAACCTCATCTTCCGTTTCCTCCAGAGCGTAAGTGGATTGCAATTCTAATCTGTTTCTGGGCTATATGTTCATACCTGCGTATTTTGCGGTGCTTCGGTCAGGGTTTGTAAATTGATTTGGTTCTTGAAATTTGATTTCTTGCAGAAAGCGCGCATCCAGATCTGGCTCTTCGAGCAGAAGGACCTCCGGATTGAGGGTCGCATCATCGTGAGTTTTCTTGCCCTGTTTTTTGTCCAAACGGCAAAATTTAGTACCAGTAACTCTCTGCTAGCGCCTAATAACTCTGCTAGCTCCTAGTAATTCTCTACTAGCGCCTGAATATGCTAATAGTAGTGTAGTTTTATGGGGACAAATCATCCTAACTATCCCAAAATAATGCAAAAGGGAGGGATAAACATGAGTCATATCCTAGGCTTGCTTTGCTACGGGCTAAAGGTCAGCTAGAAAAACGCTTTACAGTTAGTAGCTTAAAATCACATCTGACCTTAATCAATTGCTTTCCCACAAGCACCTACTAATATGGCATGAGTGTGATGCAAATTCTTTGTTAGATTGCAATTCTTAAGCTAATAAGGCACATGCAATTGTTGGTTTCAAGTGTCTTCAAAGGATAACTACCTAGTTAGAACAGAAGGTTAGAGCAAAAGCAAGGGTAGGCAACATTGGCTGGTGCCATGTAAATGCTTACCCGCAATACTTTGCAGATAGTCAAGTGCTTATTGACTTCTATAGGTGATTGGAATGTGATATGTTCCAATATTGAGTATTCCTTTTCATCAAATTACAGTCCTTAAATCTGGAATCAATCCTAACCCTTGTCGTGTGGACTGAAGAACTGATCTATATGAACTATGAACAACTACTGTAAATAGCGTCGAGCTTTGTTGCTTTCATATGGAAATATTACCTTTTTGCCCAATCAGAATATTATCATTGCTTATATAAACAAATAGTGAAGGACTTCTGAAAGATGCTATTTAGAATGTTTTCATTTAGGGATCCTTTGGCTTCTTTGTGGGTACAGCTGTATATGTGTGGGGGATCCTTGGCTTCACTTTCTGGGTACATAACACCACACTGTATATGTGTTGTGACTTGTGAGTCTCTTGTTTTGCCTCATGAACAGTGGGAAACAAATGATGGTGTTAAGTGACAATCAGGAATCACTCATGGACATGTTTAGTGCTCCTTGGGTTTCTTAGGAAAATATTTGTATTGTCCTGGGTGATTGGTGTATGGTGTGGTAGCATGTGTTCTTTTTTTAAAAAAAATTCTATTTCGATGTCATTTGTGTTTTCCTATATGTGTTCATTATGTGATATAAAAGCAGGACCTTTCACTTTTTACTTGCCTATTTTCCCCTTATTTGGTCTTCTATGTTTCTGTCTGATCTGATTAATGTATGGGTGACCCTGCACTGCAGGACATGTTATGGATGTCTGTTTTTGTGGGGCTATACAGATGTTCCTTTTCCATTTACTATCGCCAACTAGGCTATGTTATGCCATCAGTGGTGTCTTGAAAACTAATAGAGTTATATAGTAACACAAATTTAATTCATTCTCTACCGTGGCCTGAAATTCTAGGTTTCTGCATATTGTTTAGTCGTAGCCTCTTGTTCATATATTTTTTTTGGAGTAATGGTTGACTGATAATGGCCGTATGGATATTGGAATCCAGGAGCTCGCTATTCACGCATCCATACTATGAGCCTCTTTGAGAGAGCTTGAACTCTAGGATTCATACAAAATTAGGAGTTTACAGGGTAAAACGAATTGTACCAGGCATTTTTTTGGGTCTAAAAATGGGGACAAGGTAGGTCACCCTTAAGGCCCTAGTCTAGCTCCTGCTCAAGCTCCACAACGGTCCCAAAGATGCCCTATAGGCTATATCTGGCAGTTATATTGCTTGTACATACGTTAGGGAATGGGCCATTTTAATCGCATACTGTTCAGTAGAACAACTCATACCTTGATATGATTGCTCGCATTAAACCCTGCAGATTGTACTATATTTAGTGAAACTTATAATTTGCTACACTTGCAGGGATTCGATGAGTACATGAACTTAGTCCTCGATGATGCTGAGGAAATCAACGTCCAAGAAAAAACACTAGGAAATCACTGGGTTAGTAAAACATGCAACCCTGGAAAATTGTTTTCCCCCATCACATGAATTGATATCATGGTTTCTTGTTATGCTCTAATATGTTTCGTTGTCAAATGATTTGCAGGCCGGATACTCCTCAAAGGTGACAACATAACTTTGATGATGAACACGTGAGTGAACAAATCCTACCTTTGTATTCTGGCTAATTATTCTGAACCTTGTAATTTCTATTGAATGGACTTCTAAAATCTGTCATTTTCACCTTTTGCAGTGGCAAGTGAAGGTTCTTATGGCAGGAATGATGTTTGGTGCTCGCCTTGAGTATGTGACATTGTACTCCATCCATCCTTATCATGTCATTGTGGTTTAGTGAGAGTTGTATTGGATGTTAACTACCTGAGTAGACTCACGTGTTAGCTATATGCTGGATGCTGTGACAACGAGCTGCTCAGTGCTCACTTGTGTTCCAAAGATTAGCCCGACTTGTGTGTGACATGTTGACATCTTTTCTGGTATCATACATAGCTTTGCCTAAAGTTTTGCTCTACTTAGTACTTACGCTTGCTTTTTTATAACCTGGGATTGAGAAAAAAAATGTAGTAATAGGAAAACACAGAAATAGGATAGGAATGCACATGCAATGCAAGACGAGAATGAAAAACACTTAGTTCGACTAGATGTTTTTTTTTCTCGTGGGTTGTCTGGAATAGAATGCAGACGGAAGTTTTAAATATCTACGTGTACAAAATGGATAGCTGTTGTCTTGAAAATCAAGTTGACATTCGAATGTAAATCTAAATTTGAACTATATCCGTGTTGTATTCACATATGGTAATATCTGTATTTGTATTAGTATTTGAACTAAAATAGGGTAAAAAGTGCTATCTGAATCCGATTTCATGCATGTTCGATCTAAATCCATCTATAGTGTGGGTACACCTTGTGTTGCACTCCATCTTATAGAGCAATTTCCTACCACACGGAGTAACACTCTCACATGCAAATCATGTCACATTGGCAAATGACGGAGTAACACACTATTACACATACGAATCACATCGCATGCAAAATCAAATGCGTCAGGTACCATGCAAAATTACATGGTAGTCAAAATATATCAATTTTAAAGTTGTAAAATAAAAAAAGACTTATATCCTTCAGATCACGCGTGCACCAATCAAAAACTAGAAAAAGGGTTTTCATATGTTGTGAAACGACACCTATACGTGAACGGACGTCTACAGACGAACATACGTCTCTTTACGAGTGATCTCATCCATCAAGCACATGATTAGTGGATAAGATTAGACAGTTAATTTTAGTTCTAAAGGGCATGTCTTTAGGAATAATCGTGTCCCTTCATGACACTACTCCACTTGTATAAATATATTTTCGAGATCAACGAAAACAACAGTTCTTCCACGTCTTGTTCATTTACATTCACTTCTAACACGTTATCAAGCACGCGCTCTCCACTGCAAGTTGAGAAGCCAGAAGAGTTACCCGGCGCTGTTGCTGCACGGCAAGACGAGAAGAGCAGAGGCTTTCTTCGTCAATCGTTCAAGAAGAGAACCGTAGTACGGAGGATCAAGGATGCAGGAACGAGAACTGGATCAAGGTATGGAATGCTTCTGTGTTTCTTACCTAAGGCAGCGATACTCGTCGTTGCTTGTTCTTCGTCAAGTTCGTCATCTTTGGGACTGCCATCTCCGTGCTGTTATGCCCATGATCATCGAGACCATCCTTGCGGCACAGACGCGACTCCGCGCGCATCAGGATGGTGAGCCCGCGTCTGTCCGGCCGGCAGCACCCTCGCTGGTGACTTCACGGCCAGAGGCTTCCCCGCCGTGGCCCCCCGCGGCCTCCGTGCCATGGCCTCGCGCCACGGCCGGCGGCTTTCCCGCAGTGGCCCGGAGACGGCGTCCTGCGCGACCTGGTGACTGCGACCGGCAGCGGCGGCCGGCTGCTCCCAATCGCGCCTGCACTCGGCGGCCCCCGTAGCCAGGCACGCACGTGGCCCCACGCCTGTTGCGCCGCGCTCGCACGTGGTGAAGTTTCGAGCAGCCGAGCCCTCGACGACGCCCCGCCGCCTTCGCCTCTGCCGACTGCGCCGATTCCACGCCGCATCCACGCCGGCGAAGCCGCCAACCGCCGCCCCGGTCTGCGACGGACCTGGCTCCGTGTCCCTCAAGGACCATCGGCGCGCGGCCTCCCCAACGGCCACGCCGGGTCAAGCGAGAACGGCGGCGCGGGGCACCTCTCCTCCGACGAGGTTGCGGGCCGCGCCCCCTAGCCGGCCTGAGCATCTCGAGGGAGGAGGGAGCGCTGTCCGGCTGCTTGAATCCGTCGGTAACGGCGTGATTCGGCGACTGCAGCGGCCTCCTCCATGGCGACGGCGGTGGTGTTTCTGCAGGCTGCGATAGCGATGGCTTCGAGCGATAGGCAGTTTCTGCCACTCGTTCTTATCAGATCGTTTTGCTTGGATGGCATGCAGCATGCTCGTAAAGCATCCTTGCTAAATGGGCCTGACGGCCGGCAAGCCTGCTACTTTTTTTTTTATTTGCAAAGAATTCGCATAAGGCTATTTGTCTCTAATAATTCTCTGCAGCAAACTACATAGTTATTCTATGTGTAAGTACTATTTGTTTAACAATTACTGTACTTGTGATGTTTTACTATTGTAAAATGTCTATTTATGGTACTGTTCAAAGTATTTGTCCGGCAAATCCAATAAACAAGTATCCTTACTATTATGACCATGATCTTGCAATTCATTTATTTAATATGCAATTGATCATTTGATTTAAGCCCATTTAAGTTTTTCAATTTTAAAGCACTACGTGCTTAAATTATGGATGCAATATTTTATGTGTATTTTCTCATCAATTGTATAATGCGCATGTTCTATATTTGTTTGTTGGACATACACAAGGTAGCATCAAAGTTGCTACTGCGGGATCTACACTAAGTAAACACTTAGTGACTATCCTCAACGTGCGTACCCAACATCACAAATTAGAACATATGGTCTATATCTTTTCACAAAGATGACTACCATTAGTTCGCATTCCTATTGGTCATCTACAAGGTAGCACCATAGTTGCTACTGTAGGATCTACACTAGGTCCACAACTTAGTGAGTATCCTCAACGTGAGTACCCAATTCGTTTGCGAATTAACTAAGGTCTACATCAATCTTTGATGACTACCCTAAGACGTGTTCATACAACTTGCATTAATGACTTGGCATCTACTGTTAACACAGATTATGCCCATTTTGAGGTCTACACCTTTACTATGACTACCTCCATTATGTTATTATGCATATGAGATTTTTACACTAACATTAATACAAGATTATCTTTTTTATTTTGCATCCCATTACAACACTACCATAGCAATTTTAATTTACCCTTAAAAGTAAATTCAGAAATTCTATGGTTTGCACCTAGTTGGAATAATGGACACGAAAGAATTTGATCTCTCACTCTTGATGATCACCATTATCTAACATGGTCAATGGACGTAATGTTAAACTTGATGTTCTATAGATTCATGGCAATATTTGATGCTCCTCATAAGAGAGCATCACCACTTATGATCAATTTAAATACGGAGTTTTATTTAAATAAAGCATCATATACACCCAGGTCACACGTATGTGTATCTCAATGGGTGCAAATCGAAGCACTATATGGCTAGCTTTCAATGAGTGATACGAACAACACAAGGCAGTCATTCTGCCCAATGCCAACTATGATTGCCCACAACTTTATCTCTAGGATCTTAAGTCCACTTGAGAATATAATTATGTTGTTCCAAAATATCCCCCAACATTGCGTTTTCGCGAAAGCACACAACTTACCAAATGTATTCTAGATTAATTCCTACACTACTTCAGGTCTAAGTGTATGATAAACTCATCATTAGCATTATAGTGATGCTCTATCATCTGAAGTACATTGAATTTTCAGAATCATTACAAGTTCGATGCCATGTAGTAATGCCATCCATAGAACTTTAATGGTAAGATTTAACACAAAAAGAAGTAGCAGCCCCGTGCATTCTTTAGGGTCAAGGCATTTCTCAAATATGACAGAACCATATTTTGTCCCAATTATGTATGTTACAGCCACACAACTTGGAAATGTCATGCCTTAAAACATTTAATTGATCTGTATTACAAATCTATTGGACATAAATATCCGGCTCAACAATAAAGATATGAAGCACGCTTCTATCTTCAACCTGACACCACCAGGAAGGCCAATTGTTCACAACAAGTTTTATGAAAAAACCAAGTAGCAACCAAACGCTTAATTAATAAGTGGGTCTTATGAGCATGGAGAGCACAATCATCGAATTTACTTCGCTTGATCCATTTTGGAGACCAAATTTGTCTTCCATTTACAAAGATACCTATTATCTTTGTCCCATTTTGGTGTTGTAATATAAAATGTCATCATCAATTTTAATTGAATATTACAATAATGTGCCATCACATTTGATATTCTATTAATTAACCTGTATGTAATCTATATATTTGCAAAGAATGTCATTATATTCTTCATGCTATATATAGACCTATACGGGAGTCAATCCAAATGCAAAGAGGAATTTTGTTTAGTGGATAGTTGCATCACAAACTCTATACATAGGGAAGCAAAATATTCCTAAACTCTTACATAGAGACAAGAACATATTTTGTTAATTGCTTGACGCGATGTCATGATAGTGGGCTTTGGTTGTCCTACTATCATACTCCCTATTGGTACTTAAATAATAATCATGAATTCATTCTTGTATTCTGATTCTAAAATGTACCCAATTAAAATTATAGAGATATTCGTCAATGTGGTTTTTATATGGAAACCCCAAGATGACAACTAAGAGTATTTTTCTCTTAACAACGGATATGGCAATACTTAAACAAAACATCCCCAGTTGGATTTGACTACATATACATAACTTGTATCCAATGTTGCGTACAAATAATTCTCTCTCTTTGATGTCAACAAGACTTGGCACATTTGCCTTAGTTATTCAACTATAAAGATAACTTGAGAATTATTGTCAATTCTATTGGTCATAGCATCAATATGAGCTACTATATTTCTTAAAGAAATTCAAGAACATACATGTGACTCTATTTATCATTTTATGGACCATAAAGATACTATGTAATGCACATTTATGCATCCATAATATAGTCTCAGGTGTGTCTCTTAGTCATGAGAACCATCACTATACCAAACTCATTGCTCGAAATCTTCAATTTAGAGTAAATTATCCTAGATGCGGGATCAAATCCATTTTATATGGAACAGTTTGGTTTTTGGGTACTATATATCAAGTTCTTATGTCCATACC